TTTTTCGGCAGCCGAAATTTCTGTGTATCTCTAATTATTGGCGACATCAGAAATTGATATTATATAATAGATGTTTTTTTTGAACATTTTAGCAATTTAAAAATATTAAAAAATGATTTTTTACATGGCACCCCTGCTCTCGACAGACGGCACCCCGGTTGGGAAACACTGGTTTAAATGCTTCAGTTTGTTTTTATATTATATTATATAATATTATAATTATATTATAAACCTAATAAATAATTGACCTCAAAAAGGGAATTCATGAGTAATATTTGCTTAATTTTTTTCATATTATATTATTATAAAGAATTGAACTGTTTTGCGTGAATTTTTATATAAAAATTTTTTAATAGAATTTCTTGGTAACAGCACTGTAAAAAAAGTTTTCTCAGGTAACCTAAAATGTGCATCATTTAGTTACATTAAGGGTCAAATCAAATATAAACAGCACATTAAAGTTAAAAGTTACACACTTTTTTGTGTGTGCTGTACAGGTCTGGTATAAAGAATGTTTTGCTCAGGTAGCCGAAATGTCCGCCCAATAGAGAAAAGGTTTGCTCAGCAAGAAAAAAAAAATTAGAGGGAACATTGGTGACAAATCCTAAAGTTATTATCATACAGCTCTCTTAAGACACTAAAACCCCTGCTGATGACTTCAATGAAAGGCACAGAGCAGAAAATGAAAGAGACACATTTATGATTAACCATTTAATGCCAATCAAACATGTGCATTCTGAACACAGCGCTCACTAATCTCTCTCCAGGAAAGTTCAATACACGCATTTAATTTAAAAATGCCATTAGATGAAGCATGAAGGGCTCTATAAAATCTTAAGATTAAAACACTATCTTCTTTTAATCTCCTTTAGGGCTCTGAGAGAGAAGAAGAGAGGAAAAACCTCTTTCCTATGTTTTTGCATTTGCTTCACCCAACCAAAACCGTACCTAAAGCTCAACACAATCTTCTCCCGGTTTAATTACTACCAATTAGTGATTGCACTGTTCCATAATGCCTATGCCTTCCTACTGTAATCTGTGGGCTTTGTGGTATATTTCCCAATGCAGTCACTGGAGAGCAACGTGAATGACTCCACTGAGAGAGATAATCAGGCACAACTAATTCAGACCTATTGCTGTACTGCTGCAAACCTACAACCCTGATCAATAAAGAACAGAAATGGACATGGATGCAGTGAGAGGGGAGAAAGACAGTAAAGAGAAAGCAAACAGCCAAGGAGGAACAACTAATGATGATTTTCTTTTTTACGGAATCTCTTCTGAGCAATTGCATCCCTTGATAACCACCCACACTTAATGTCCCTACTGTCTCTGGAGTGGCTTTTTTGGGCTGCAGCCTCTGCTAATAATGCTCATCCGGGGCTTGCTTTATTGCTTAAAGGGGTCATGAACTGCCTTTTTTATTTTGTACTATTCTCTGAGGTCCACTTATAATAATAATATCAAGATTTTTACATCCACAAACATCATAATTTAGAGGTAATAGGCTATTTTCCGTCCTATTTTGACCCCCTCATCGGAATGCTCTGCTTGAATAGGCGTGGCGATTTGTAGACTCGGAAGCAAACGAACACTGCTATGATTGGCTAACATGTTTGACAGCCTACATCCTTCACAGGTGTCACGGTCACGGTGTGTGGAGGCAGGCAGGACGACGAGGACGACAAGGATTCCAATAATACTTTTAATGTAGACACAACAAGGCAGATTCAGGAAGGTGAGACACACACACTCGGGGTAACATTCACAATAACCGACAAACTGGAACACAATGGACAGGAACTGATATAGGATGGATAATTAGTGGCAGACAGGTGAGCACAATGAGGGTAATTAACTTAATGATCATACGGGCTAAACCAACAAAAGGGGAAGAAACCACAATAAACAGTCCACAGGGGCGTTACAACAGATGGACGCTGCTGTGATTTAGATTAAAAACTCATGAATACTCAGTACATATCAAACAAACTGTCATAACAGACAAAGCAATAGTGGCCACGTAATAAAAACAGTTACTAACACTCGTGTGTGGTGCAACATTACTGTCGGATCCAATAAAGTTGGCAGAAATTAAATTGAAGTGAACAAAGGACCAAGTTCTAACTGACGTGGTCTGGATCTTCATTAAAAATAAAGTTTTCCACAGCTTGGCACTGCACAGCGTCTTGTTGTCTTCAGAGCCATCTTTATCTTTTGGTTTCTGCATAGACTAATGCCTCTCTCGTTATTAACCCACTACATGCGCAAATCAATGGGCGGGGCTAAACAGGCAGTGATGTAGAAGCAGGCATTGATCTTCTTCTGTGGAGGCAGTGTTTAGCCACACTATTACGTCATAAAGTGGCACATTCCACAACCTGTCTTTTTGGCAGATTGGCTTCCATATAAGCTGTTATAAACTGTAGACTAACGAGAAAGTTTTGAGTTCTGAAACTCATGCCTAGTTCATACTACAGGATTTTAAGCCAGATTTAAACCCGATTAGCAAGTTAACGAGCTTGCCGATAGGTCGGGCTGTGATCGGGGGAATATCAGCGCTCACCAATCTTTATGTGTGAACTACTCAACGACGCATCAAAGAGGCTCGCTGACGCATCGCGCCGATGTCTCACTGACACCAAACGAATATCTAGCATGCTAAATATCTGGACCAGTCAGCTGACTCGACATCACGTGGTGTCAGGTGTCGCGACGAGCTACAGCGAATGAGAGATCAAAGCATGGGTTGAGGTCAGCGGAAGAAAAACAGCAGCAGCAACATGGCTTTAAGAAAAGTTTGGAGACAAGAAATGGAGCAAACAGTTTCAGAACAGATCATCACGCAAACAGCTTGCAGCACCAATTTCTTCCCGATGTCCATTTTCAAATAAACAACTCCTGTTTCACTTGTTGTTTAGCATCATTCCCGTTCAACTTCTCGCATGTGTTTTCATGAGAAAACATGGTTTGGGGTCCGGATAGAGTCGTTGGGTGACAGAGTTGTCAGCTCGTGTAGTGTGTGACCCCCTGTTGCGCATCATTTACGTAGTGTCGCGTAGTGTGAACACCACAAAGACTTCAAGACAGACAGCAAGTCATGTAGTCTGAACAGCACAGTGATCTGCCGACGTTTTAAGTCGTGTAGTGTTAACTAGGCTTTACAGGATGTTTTTATAGTACAGTCATGGCCAAAAGTTTTGGCAGTGACAAATTTTGTGTTTTGCAAAGTTTGCTGCTTAAGCTGTTGTGGTGTTCATTCACATTGTTTCTAGATTATTGTGTAGAGTGATCAGATGCATTTTAAATTGTTAAAAGCTGAACTTTCACAAAAAAACGAATTTCACAGTTTTTTTGATCCTGACACAAAATGACCAGCTAACATTAATTGACTAATCATATCAGCAGCACATGTGAAAGTGTGAATGAGTACTAGTCAGATGAAATCACTATCATACTAAATAGATTGTAAGAGCAGACTGATTACTATAAAATGAGGGAAGAAGCGCTTCCAATCATTGTGTTCTTGTTAGCAATGGTTACCTCCAAAGAAACACGTGCAGCCATCATCGCTTTGCATCAAAATGGCCTCACATGCGAGGAAATTGCTACAAAAAAATATTGCACCTGAAAGAACTATTTACCGGATCATCAAGAACTTCAAGGAGAGAGGTTCGACTGCAGTGAAGAAGTCTTCAGGACGTCCCAGAGTATCCAGCAAGCACCAGGACCGTCTCCTCCTGAGGAGTCAGCTACGGAACCGTGTCACCACCAGTGCAGAGCTTGCTCAGGAATGGCAGCAGGTTGGTGTGAGAGCATCTGCACGCACAGTGAGGCCAAGACTTTTGGACAACGGCCTGGTGTCAAGAAGGGCAGCAAAGAAGCCAATTCTCTCCAAGAAAAATGTCAAGGACAGACTGAAATTCTGCAGGAAGTACAAGGATTGGATAGCAGAAGACTAGTGCAAAGTTATTTTCTCTGATGAAGCTCCCTTCTAACTGTTTGGGACATTTGGAAAATCGATTGTTCGGAGAAGAAAAGGTGAACGCTACCATGAGTCCTGTGACGTGCCAACAGTGAAGCACCCTGAGACCATCCATGTGTGGGGTTGCTTTTCAACCAAAGGAGTGGGCTCTCTCATAATTCTGCCCAAAAACACTGCCATGAATAAAGAATGGTATCAAGACGTCCTGAAAGAGCGACTTCTTCCAACCATCCATGAGCAATTTGGTGATGATCCGTGCATTTTCCAGCATGATGGAGCACCATGTCACAAAGCAAGAGTGATAAAGAAGTGGCTCGAAGATCATTACATTGAAATTTTGGATCCGTGGCCAGGCATCAATCCCATAGAGAACCTGTGGTCAGTCCTCAAAAGGCGAGTGGACAAGCAGAAGCCCACAAATTGTGATCAACTCCGAGAACTAATATGGCAAGAATGGATCGCCATCAGTCAGGATTTGGCCCAGAAGCTAATATCCAGCATGCCAGAGCGAATTGCAGAGGTTATGAAGAACAAGGGTCAACACTGTAAATATTGACTCATTATATTTTTTTGCCAATAAAAGACTTTAAAACTTATGATATGCTTATCATTGTTTTTCAGTATACCAAAGAAACGTGTGGAAAAATAATCTACAAATACTGAAGCAGCAAACTTTGCAAAACACAAAATTTATGTCTGCCAAAACTTTTGGCCATGACTGTACAATGACCTCTTATATGTCAAAAGATCATGGGAATTTGGATTTCTCGGTTCATGACCCTTTTAACAGCACAACACTCATACTCATACATACACACTCATCATTCATACTGCACTTGAAATATAATGCTGCAGAAATGCGGTGGATATATTACCTGCAGATTGTTGAGAGGTTCCATTTTCATGACAGGGCCGCTCATGCTGAGAGGGAGACTAACGTCAATGGTCTGATTGGGGCTCAGAGGAGTCAGAACCTGCATAGGGCCAGCAGGGGCGAGACCAAAACTACAGAAAAACAGAGAAATTCAGTTAAGACTACTGATGCAACAAAATTTATTTTTTTGAAATTAAAGTTTTTATTTAGCCAAAAATAATGTTTCTGCAGTTAAATGTGGGTAATTTAATTTGTATGCTTATTCGTATGTCATATTCACAGGTGAATTTCTTCTGCAATGAGCCATCTCTCAATATTTCAGCCAAACACATTTTACATACTCTAGCATCATTTTTGGTCATGGTGATATGTGATGACTGATGATATGTTTACTTGCTGTAGCTAATCCATGCTGAGAAATAGTCCCTGTCAAAATGTGTCATTAGAGAAGTTTTGGTCAATGAGTTTGCCCTCCAAAACCGTTTCGGCCAAATATTTTTGGTTGCATCACCAGTTAAGACACAACCAATGTTTTTTTTTGTTTTTTGCAATCTGTACATTTGTTGCATATTTACAAACAGAAGTACCTAGGAACAAGACAAGAATATCACAGAGACTTTGAGGTGTGCACTTTCGATTGGGCCACTAAGTCACCTTAGCAATTGCATAGCAACACTGACTCTGTCAACCACACAACTGCCTATCATTGTGGCTGCGAGATTTGTGTGAGAAAGCACCATTCTATAAATCTATACATACATAAGAATATGACCTCCTTGTTGCCCTTGTATTGTAAGATTTAAGTAGAATATATTACAACATTCTACTTTCAGGCTTTACTAAACGAGAGGTAATTTTCTAGACAGAAGACATCAATTGACATGAAAACACATTTAAGTCTCTTCAGAATATCAGCATGTCCTTGAATGATCCCACTGACAAAACAGTATAAATGAATGCTACGTTTTCCAGGCAGGCCTCCAAACTGATTAGCAAGCGGCGAAGATACCGCAGAGAGAAGAGCAAAACCTTGAAGAGACCTCCAAAACAGTCTCCCGTTCTGCCACTGGACTCACCTGTTCCTGTTGAACTGAACGGCGAAGTCAGTCATAACACTCATGGCTTTGTTGGTAAGAGACAGATCCATCTGAATGATCCCACCACGTCTAGCAAACGTCCCAGAAATCTCCAGCCCTTTAGCCTTTATTGCCAGTAACCACACCTGAACCCACAGATAAACAGGTTGAGAGTGTGGGGTAAAGAAAGAGAGTTTGGGGCGCACACACGTCTGTGGCTTTTGTTGTTTCAATATTTCTGTACATTGCGCCTTGGTGTTTTTTTAAGCATCTCATTCTATGAGAGTTGCATTTCTAAGCCATTTTTTTTTTCAATTAAAAATGTGCTCTGCATTCTGTTGGACTGGAGAGTCCATTATTGAACACCACAGCACGTTCTATGTGCACACCCACTTAAGAGTCCAGGAAACACTGCCGTATTACAAATTGACTTAAAAAAGCGGTGAACCTGCTTATAAAAGACTGCTGAAGACATAACCAAAGTTATTGATTACACACTACACGACTGTCAGGCCGATTATGAATGGAATTTGGTCTTGATGATGGATCGTGCCCAGTCGGACCGGGTCTGTTCCAGTTGGGCTCAGTCGCTGTTTGCAGTCGGCAGAAAAAGTTGCATAGTGTGTGGTATCTAAAGATTATAATCTTAGAATTCAAGAACCAGTCGTTATCACAAAGATTTTTTTAAACATGTTTAATATTTGCGACTGACACCAGCGATTGCAGCTATACAGAGGAGATGCGTGCACTGTCAAACATCATTCAGCATTCGTTTTGTAATTTTGTCATATTTTCTTCTTGATTACAAGAAAAATCTCGGAAGTTTTTGTTGTTATTTATTTCTTGACTTTCTTTTAATTCGTTAACACTTCGAATAAAAGGTAAATTTTCTCTGCAGTCGAAGAAAATTATAGCCTAAATTATGTCAGTGATTTCTCTAATTTTAAAGATGATCAAGAATTATTTTATTTCAATCTGCATTCTAATAAAAGTTAAGAAAAAATAGAATTAGCCTATAGGCCTATCTACAGGCTAATTCTATTTTTTCTCAACTTTTAACTTCTTCAAATTTGTTATGAAGAATTTTAAATCAACTTCATAACAAATAGGCAAGGCTAATGAATTTTCGTCATAAGCAACATACGAACATAACGAATACCCTAGCTATTCTATAAAACGAAATCTTCATAAAAAAATCATAAATCACGAATATGACGAAATAAAATTATATATATATATTTTTTTACGTCAAATGGATAAGGAAATTACAGTGCCTTGAATTCATTAAGTAGCCTAATGTTTTATTTCATTCTAACCTATAACTCGGGAAATGTAACGGGAAAAAAAGCCTATCGTTTTTACTTAAAACCAATTAATTTTAAGCTATGATTTTAGACGCATAAGATAATATATTATTGTTTGACTAAACGTTTAAAAATAACGCTACAAATGTTATAATTAAGGGAATTAAACCTAGGCCCATGGCATTTGAAAATACATAATGAAATGTGTCTTTTTTAAGCAATAATTCCAAAAAGAAAGAGAAGCATCGGACTTGGGCTAATGCAAAACATATTCAAGACACATTGCTGTGACATTTATTAGGAACACCAACATAGCAGGAAAACGCACAAACTAAGAAAAGTAAAACAAACCTTAACGTTTCAATAGCTAAAAGCACCGTGTTGTCCGCAATGTTGTATTTGGTGGGGCGGTAGCTGAAAAAAAAACAGCTTAAACGTTTAGTCAAACAATAATATATTATCTCATGTGTGCCTAAAATCAGGGCTTTAAAAATGAATTGGTTTTAAGTAAAAAGGCTTTTTTCCCGTTACATTTCCCGAGTTACAGGTTAGAACGAAATAAAACATATACTTAATGAATTCAAGGCACTGTAATTTCCTTATCCATTTGAGTAAAACTATTATATATATATATATATATATATATATATATATATATATGAATAATTTTTTATTTTAT